TTTGTAGAATTAAGAATTTACATGTGGCTCTTTTCGGCCTCGGCCTTGCCCACCCCTGGTTTATATATTTTCTTGGAGCGAGTGACCACCTCTTTCAAAAGCAAAAACTGATTAATTAACAGGTTAAACAAAATATTATCAAGCGAAGTCGGTTCAGAAACTATGGCTGCATTTCTTTATTCATTCTGAATGTTTGGAATATGTTTGGTTCCTCCTTTTCAAAAACAAGTAAAAAATTGGTCGATCTTTGGATAAAATTCTACATGAAATGCTATCTTAAAAAAAAATGTTTAAAATCAAGCAGAAATGTCTATCTATTTATTTTGTTAGTCGAGCCCAAGTGTGCCTACATATGCGGAGGCACCCCGCTTACCTAACCTATCCTAACCTATTTTGTTCAAGCTAAATGAAATATACCAATGGGGTTTTGACTCGAAAAAAGAAATGTAGACGGTTATATGATTTTGTTCATGTTTTAAAAGAATTGCTGCCCATAAAAGATATTTTTGTATATTGAAATAACGAATTTAGCTGATATATATATTCGACAAATTGACCGTGTTCTGGAATACTTATAAATTTTTCAGTTTTAAAGACAATGAGGCTTTTCTTTGCCCAAAAATACCAGCACAATCGTCTTCTATAATTTTCAAGATAAATTTGCCATATACACGCTTTTTGCCAATGCAAAATCTTTATTTCCTTTTTTGTTATATTTAAAGTGGGTAAGGGCTAGTATTTAATAGTTTGATAACACTGTGAGACAAATGGTAGGGGTCAGTGATCGGGAAGGGTTCAAACTACCGGGGAAAGTTATATCGGTAAAAAAGAAGTTATACGTGTCCCGGCGTTTCGCTGGGTCACGTCTAGGAATCGAGATATATATATAACTATCATATAGGGGAAATTGTCACCTTTGGTGGTCTTTTTTTGCATAACTCGAGAACCACTAGTCCGATTTTACTCAAACAAATTAAAAAAAAAATTACAATTCCTTTAATCTGTTCATATAACGTTTTTCTATATAATCAACAGTTTTAAAAAAATTTAATATTTTAGGCAAAAAATATTTTTTTTCTTCATACATTTATTTTTACCGGCAAAACTGTTGATTATATAGAAAAACGTTATATGAACAGATTAAAGGAATTGTAATTTTTAATTTTTTTAAATTTGTTTGAGCAAAATCGGACTAGTGGTTCTCGAGTTATGTCAAAAAAAAAGACCACCAAAGGTGACAATTTCCCCTATATGATAGTTACTAACTTCAAATCGATATATCTCGATTCCTAGACGTGACCCAGCGAAACGCCGGGACACGTATAACTTCTTTTTGACCGATATAACATTTCCCGTTGGTTTCATCCCATCCCGATTTTGACTGTCGCATAGTGTAATTAATGATAACTTTATCAATTGCCTTGGTATTAAAGAACTTAAATTAACATTACTAAGGAACTTAAAATGTAAGGGAACTTACAATATTCAAAATGACACCTTTTGTAAAGGTTAAGAAACAAACACATAAATGCATCGACAGCTGAGCTCAAGACAACTTTTAAGATGAATTGTAAGGGATTTACTCGTCTTAAAATTCCTAGCTCGATTTAATCCCAAGTTTTAAACGTGAAAATATCCAATCCCCGTGTTTTTAAATTATTATTCAACTATATTAATTTAAGCATTTTGTCTAGAGAAGTGTAATATTCTAAATTTCTTAAAAGCTCTGTTTTAGAGTACACTTTTTTTACTTAAATTACTGAGAATATTTTTCTTTTTTTTTTTTTGATACGCCAATTTTAGGTTTAATTAAATTTTGGGAGTTCATTATTTTATTTTTAACAACAATATATTCCTCTTTTAAGTGGTGTGCTAGTTTATATTCTCCGACATGGTTTTTATCAATTATAACTTGCATTTTTCTGTGCCAGGCTTCCACCGTATTCTGCGTTGTCGCAATATTTATATCCATTTGTTCATATATTGACCAAAAGGATGGCGGATATGCTAAAGTGTTTTTACAACGTGAATATCTACTTCTAGACGTTGACGATCCGGTTATTTAGTTTTTTCCATCCACTTTAATATATTTGCACAATTATTGCTCATGTGCTTCTTAAGATCATAGTAGTATTGGGGTATTTCCTCTGGTTCCAAAAAAGCTAGACATTTTAGCATTCTTATTTGCAAAGAAAAGTTTTCGTCTTTTCCGTAAATGGAGGCAAGTTTTTCGCTTAGAATTTTTCGCCACAAAATTTGCCCAAAATAGAAAAAGCATCCTTTGTTGACTACACTGGGAAAGTATGATTTTGTAACGGAAATGATTGCCTTCTCGAAATCAGAAATAATTTAATCTGGGCTGAGATGTACAGTATTATCGCAGGCGATTCTTAGTATTTCATAAAAAACTTCATCGTAAAAGCTTAGTTAGTCTAGACTTAATTTCCGTAACTTAACTTAACTTAATGTTGTAATTCTCAAAAATAAATGACAGCAAACATATTTGTTTCCATAGATATGTAACTCAAAATTTACGTTTTTGGGGACCTGATTATGCAATTAATAAGCTTGATAAGTAGAATATGTTCAGTCTACCAGATAACCAAACTTCCCAAATATGACGAAGATATGTGTCTATCCATCTGTCTTTTTGTTTACCAACTGTATGAATTAATAAAACTTTGATTGCGTTTTCCCACAAAATTGAAATTTTGAAATACTTCGTTATGTTATTAAAAGCGCGATATTATGGAAATTAACGACGAGTTTTATTACATACGTTTTTTACCATTCATCAAAAGAAAAGCTTTCTATTAACTTCCGACAAAAATATCCATTTTGACATTTTCGAGACCAAATAATTTGAAAATAAATCAAATCAGCTGCTCTACTGATACTACCTGTTCAATGTACCTTGGCTCAAATCTTCAAATAATTTTTTAATATGTTTCTGTCATATAAAAAAAAAACATATCACTTTTTATTGAATTGTCTTTTAAAAACAACGTTGTATAAAAAAATGTACTTTAAAAATATATTATGTGCATGTGCATGAGCAGAAATTTGTAAAAAACCGGATCGCACACATGTAGTACATGTACATGTGGGCGATAATTACCACCGCCAATGACATCGCCGTGTAAAACAGTTGAAGGCAATGCTTGAGTATTGAGATAGAACTAGTACTGTCGGCAAAAGGTCTAGTTCTACGCTAGTTCTGAGATAGTCAGCTTTTCTGCAGGAAACAAACAGCACACTTTGCTGTGAGCAGAGTTTGTTTTAGTCTTATGCACACAAACGTGTATGAGCAGTGACGGGATTTTCGGTATGTCGTTATCACAATCCCGGGATCCCGCGATTAGTCCCGGGATTTAGATATTCATTATAGGGCTTTCGCACGCGGCGATTTTTCAGGCTACTTTTGCGTTCAACTCACGCAGGGTTGCACGAAAAAAAAATTGAATGGTTAAAAATATCAAAATATAAAAAATTATCAAAATATTCGCCATAACAAGGCCTTTGCATTGTTCAACTTTGCATTCTACTTTTGGTTGAACGGCCTTTCAACTAATCGCTTTCAACAAAGTTGGTCGCCAGCCAACATTTAGCCATTCAACTTTTTTTCGTGCAAACCTGCGTGAGTTGAACTCAAAAGTTGAACGCAAAATCGCCTCGTGCGAAAACCTTTTTACTTTTCAACAACTTAAATCGAAAAAATTGCTTCTATCTTGTTTGAGAAGCTCTCCTACCATAAAATAAATAATAAATAAATGGGTATGAAACCTACTTTTTTATTTAAAGTGGTGTTTTTATTTTTTCTCTCTGACGTCAGGATTTATTTGTAATTTCGAAGATATGAATAATAAAATTACGGGTACCGAATGCAAGAGGAAATTTCTTTAGAATTAAAAAAAAATTAAAATTTTTCGGATTCACGAGGGCGAATAGGGAATTTTTAAGCTGATAAAGTTAGAAGGACGAAATTGGAGGATGTTGTCGAGTTTATATAAATCCCTAACACACAATTTTTTTAAAAACAAATATTGCGAAATCTCAAGGAAAAAATTTTAAAAGGACATTTTCAATACTTACCAGTCCTTCTACACCAAAAACTTCAATCTGTTTAACTTACACAGGATTACCTCTTTAATTTGATACCCATACTTCTTCTCTAAGCATATTTCTCTGAATTAAAAAAAAAAAAATTGAATTACTGACGACAGAGTGAAAAACTAAAAACTGAATTTTACTATATTTGGCCCATGGTTTCGCGAATATATTGATACTTTTGTTTAAAATTTACTATCGCGCGGTGTTGTATTAAAAAAAATATTAATTATTAAATGAAAAAAGAAATATAACCAATACTGGTCAAGAAAAGGAGTTTCTATTATTGCCATCAGTGCAATTTACAAATCCCGAAAATCCCGGGATTATTTGCCAAGAATCCCGGAATTTTAGGGACCTTAAAAAGGCCGGTATCCCGGGATCCTGGGATTAACAATCCTAGTGAGCAGAGTACGTGTGTGCAAATACGAACCCTGTTAAAAGCAGAAGTACTTTTGAATTTTCACCTTATTAAAAATAAAGTATTTTTTTTCATTTGCCCATGTATTTGCGTATAATTTAGCAAATTAGCAAATGATAGAAAACAGTAATCTAAACAAAAAACTGCCTATAGGGCGGTTAACCACTTTTTCTGAGAACAATTATGCTTTTTACAGTTTTAAAGGTTTATCCTGAAAAGTTGAGGAACGAAACTAAAGTTTGATTAATTCATACAGTTTGTATACAAAAGGATAGATGAAAAGACCATCTCCGACATTTTTGCGAAGTTTAATTATCTGTTAGACTAAATATATTCTCCTTGTCAAGGTTACAAATTATATGATGAAAACCCAAAAGACGTAAATTTTTAAATATTTGCCTATGTTATTAAACGTGCCAGAAGTCTGAGGATCGAACTACTGTCTCCAACTTTTAAATGCTCTTTCGCTACAGGTGTGCAAACAATGGTATAATGCTTTCTATCTGCCCATGGTGTGGCACAACTTTGTGGTCGATGATCGGACTCTCACGCGTGCTAAATACAACTACTACTCTGGCTGGCAATATTGCCTGGATCATATACGGACGCAGAATTGCTTATCGCGAGTTGGAAAATACATGCGTGGCTTGGAATTCAGGCCAGAGCACAGCTTCAATAACATTTTCCAGTTCATGACAATGCTCTCATGGGGCATGGAAAAAGTAAGTTTATGTTTATACATACCTATGTACATATATGGGCAAATCTAAAAACCAGGTAACCTTTGTTTTATTTAGCTTTATTTTCATTGTTGTAAACTATATCAAGCAGGTTACTTTTTGATATAATTCATAGACGTATACTTGAAGCCTCAAAAAAATGTTGAATCAATTTGTTGCATAACTTTTGAGTTATATGTTTTAATTCAAAACAAATATTAAAACAAGTGAATTTTTTATGTAATTTTTAAGAGGTGAAAAATTAATTATGTCATAACTTTTGCAGCACACCCATGAGTGTCGCCAGGACCGAATTTAGGGGGGAGGCAGTGTTGTTACACGTAGGGAAAAATCCCTACACGTAGGGCTTATTGTTGAAGAATAATGACTGTAGGGAGAAAAGGACAGATTTTTAAACAAGCTTGAAATGTAGGGAATTTTCGACCGACTACAAAATGTTTTTCAAAGTTAGAAATTTTTCAATATTGTTATTGAGCTTTGTACCACTATTATGTTTTTTAGGAATAATTAAAAAAAAAACAAAATCTAAATCAGCCCGTTTTTGTGGCAACATTCTAGTACTGGCATAGCATTTGTGTGGTGTATTTGGCATATAATTAGTCGAACTTGAGGAATTTGTGAGCATTTTTTAATTGAGGTTTTTATTTTCTACATTCTAAAGTTTTACACATGTTTGCGTTGCTAGCACTATTTTAGCAAATAATGAGTATATATTTTAGCAAATAATGAGTATAAAAACGAAATGGGTCAAAACAAAGTGTAGGGAATTTTGTAGGGAAAAAATATATGAGCGTAGGCAAAAATAGGGGTTTTTATTTCGCTGCGTGGGGATTTTTTAAAAAAGTATGTAACAACACTGGGAAAAATTTTATTTCAAAATCTTAATTTAGTTGACTGATTAATCCTTATTAGTACATATGTATATATGGTCGGACGCTGTGGTGTAGTGGTAAGCAGTGCGCGCTTCCACTCCGCAACGCCTGGGTTCAGTCCCTGGTCAAAGCAACATCGCAAAAATATAGGCAATGGCAAACCTCCGAGTGCATTTCTGCCATGAAAAACAGCTTCTCATAAAAATACAATCGCCTTTCGGAGTCGGCGTAAAACAGTAGCTCCCTCCGCTTTGTGTGACAAAATCAAGACGCACGCCACAAATCGGAGGAGAAGCTCCGCCAAACACTAATATATGTGTGTAAGCGCCAATCTATTATAATATTATTATTAATACATACATATGTGTAACTAAATAGTTCCATTTGAAAAGACAATTTTAACTAATAGCAAAAGGCATTTAGTATAGGGCTGGCATACGTCCCCGTTTCCAGGGACATTTCCTCGCTTCGGACCCTGTGTCCCCGTGTCCCCGTCCCCGAATATTTTTTATCTGCCCCTAAGGAATACGCGAATTCAAAAGTGAAAGTGAAAAATTTCGGGCGGAAATAAAACTCATGATAAGGTTGATTGCCTTTTCTAGTTACATATCAAAAACAAGTAGTCCGGCTACATGGTTTCAATCAATAGTTGAAGAAGTGCCATCTGAGGCATTTCATGTCACCGCGGCCACCTCTGTGCGCGACCTCTAAGGATTTGCATGAAAGTTGAAGAGATGGGAGGTCTATGTGACATGAATTTACACGGGACTTAAATTTTAAGAAAACGTCATACATACCTTTCTTTAAAGTGCTGTATCTTGAAAACCTTTTAACGCAACTTAATGAAAAGAAATGTATTTCTTCCGTCTAATTAGGGGCTTTAATTGCTAATTTTATACTTTAATGTGCAATTAAGCAAACATTTTTCTTTTTGATTTTTTGTTGATTATAGCATTTTTGAAAATTTTTATATTTACATAAAAACATTGTCTATAATGTCAACTTTAAGTGCCCAAATGGGCGTAATGGGCTCTAGATCGTCTAATGCTCTAGCAATATGATGAATAGCCATTGAAATTTTATGAAATTGTATATTTTTGAAAGAGGAAACGGGTATAAAAAACAAAAACAACATAAATAAATCATATTAACTTTACCAAANGAAAATTTTTATATTTACATAAAAACATTGTCTATAATGTCAACTTTAAGTGCCCAAATGGGCGTAATGGGCTCTAGATCGTCTAATGCTCTAGCAATATGATGAATAGCCATTGAAATTTTATGAAATTGTATATTTTTGAAAGAGGAAACGGGTATAAAAAACAAAAACAACATAAATAAATCATATTAACTTTACCAAAGGTCTGAAATCATGAAAATTGCTTCAAGGAAATGGCAGAATTAAACTTTGTTGCAAGTTCACATGGGAAATCTGCTTACGACGTGATTAGAAGATTAGCAGCTAGAGCAAGTCTTTAACTCCTGATGTTACAACAAATTCGTACACCCGAAGCCCTCTGCCAATGGGATGCCTGTAAAAAATAACCGCAACTAACTTTTCAGTGGACTTTATTTCGACCATGATACGTGCCAATTACTTTAGACCTATTTTAAGCTAGTTTAAAAGGTCTGTAAAAATAAAATTTTTTTAAAAAAATGCGATAATCAAAAAAAATTAAATAGAAAAATTTTTACATCATTTTTATTTTTATTTTTGTTTTTTATACGTTGCGCATTAATGTAAAAATGTACAATTAAAGCCCATAACAACACCGAAGAAATCCATTTTTTATCATTAAGTTTCGTTAAAAGGTTTCCAAGATACAGCACTTTAAAGAAAGGTATGTATGATGTGTTCTTAAAATTTAAGTCACGTGGTAATAGGTAACCCTACGTCATATCGGTAAAATATGCTGCACGTATATTCATGTCACCTAGACCTTCAATCTCTTCAACTTTCATCCAAATCTTGAGAGGTCGCGCACAGAGGTGGCCGCGGTGACATGAAATGCTTTCTATCTAAGTATGTATATTGTGAATATAAAAAATGTATTTCATAGAAGTAATAAGCCTTCGGCATAGCCGCAGACAGCAAGACAGCACTGCTCTTACTTATTTTTAAATAACCTGTGGAGCTTACAATTTAATTTGATCTATAGGTCAACCCTGTGACTGCTTCAGGTCGCCCTAAGTCATATGACTGAGCAATTATATACATACATATATGTATGTAGATGATAACCGCTAAGTCGGGTTTTTAAAATTTAAGCAAAGTTTGAAGTACCGCTATCTCGAAATAGGGGGGCAATCTGGTAGAACGGGTGATGCCATTGAATTTAAAACGTCCCAATTATGTGGGTTCATCTTTCAAAATCTTTGCTTAAAATTTACAACTTGCACAGCGTAATTTGAACCCAGATAATTCTTCTATTTTCTGTTTCAACGATCTAAATATTTATTCCTGGTCTTACCTTTTAAGCACTTGATAAAAATGAATTACACTTATATTTATCGATTTAATAAGAGATCATATATAAAACATATGTAGGTGTGCCCACTAATTAAAAAATTAAACTTTTTGTTTTAAAAGTATGCATGTTTTTTAGATTTGCCCATATACATAATTATATTTAATGCAAATATGTTATTATTTTATAATCAACTTAAAAATAAGAGCTCGGAGTTAAAAGCACCAGCTGACCTCAAGGATATTGGAACACGCATACGATCTCTTGTCTATATATTCCCCTGCAATATGTCACAAGCCAACGATCCCGAAGGTATTAAGCTATTCGGCACCGGCGGGCAATTGCTTAAAGGTCTGAAGGAACTGCTGTCTAAACTTCGTGATCTACGGACTTTGAAACTAATAGATTTCGTGTTGGAACGTTTCGAGGCAAAGCATCTGCTCGATGAAGTGCTGGAATCGTGCTGCACGAAAATGCGTGTGCTGAATCTAGTGAATGTCACAACCACTCACTGCCCAATAATGCATGTGGGATTGTTTATCAATTTGCAGGTGAGAGGAACATATTCATTACGACTTCTTCCCCTACTATGTACGCTTAATTCTTCTTTAATGTATGTACATACATATGTGTTTACTTAAATTGCATATAATTCAAAGGTACTGACAATTTCACCCCAAAACATCGATGATGACGTTTTGTTGTTATTAGCCGATACTAAGTTAAAACACTTGCATTTGTTGCAAAACCGTTACACCTCCACACATCTCTCAATCTCGCCGTGCAGCGTGAAGGCGTGGCGGCAGCTTAAACGCGATAATCCAAGGCTAAAGGTGCACCTGCGTGTTGAATCAATGGGAGATGGCGAAGTGGTTTTCCAGCCAGAAGCACCAGTCTACAGTGTCAGCTACGAATCGCCAAAATCTAGGGTGAGGAATTTGTAATGATTGATTCGATTTGAAGGCTTTTGAATATTCCGTGCACACATATGTTAGGGTTGTTCGACTTTACTAGAAAGTCGACTTTATACTCTAATCGACAAATCGACTGATCATGATTTACAAATGGTCTTTAGAATAATCTGTAATTTAGTGAAATCCAATGCTGGGCAAGAGACATGCAGACACTAAAGGGTTTCTAAAAGTTTTGAAAACATGTAGGTTGTGAGGGTTTTTAAAAATTGATATTTTTGAAGAATAATTTAAAAAATTGTATATTTCCACTAACAAAAAATCTAAATAATTTCTTTAATCGATATTTGGTAATTACGAACCACTTTTCGAAAATTTTGCCTTTCCGATGGAACAGAGGTGGCGAGCATTGGTAGAAGTTTAAGGGCCACTTTATAAACATGGGGATATTCTCTCCTTAAAGTATCCCAGAAATCCAGTATATTGGGATTATCCACACGACTAATGTCGCATCTCAATAAGAGCATCTTGATCGGTGTTTAAAAGTTTGTACCTTACGGATTGGTCAAATTCGAACAAAGACTGTCTGTAGAAACTTACATAAACTCACGGAGAAAAACTTTCTTGCATAAAATTGTTTAGAAATAAAGTGCTTTGTAGATCTTATTGACTGAAGATTGTGAAGACAAGGATTAACAATAATTAATGGTCCCTACAATGAGTTGCATTCGATATTCGACTGTGGTCGAAAGTGCTGATCGAACGAATTTTCATTTGGTATTATAAACAATAGCGCTATTGTGAATTTCGCTCGTTTAGGTCGTTCACAGTAGTATATTTTTCACCGCTGAGAAGCTTTGTTTACATATGTATGTAAATTCTGCAAATTAAAATGAAATAAAAAAGGTAGCGAGTTCATAAAAACGCGAAAAATAAATTTAATTAGTACAACGGAGTTCTGGTTGATCGATTCGTCGGAGGATGATAGCTTAGAAAACTGGACAGGAGCAGAAGACGTTTAAGTGCAGACGTTCGAATATATTTTGCCATACAATATATTTAAGAAATTTTGTGTTCCAAATCTATTTAAAATATATTAAAACTATAAACAGCTCCATGATTTTGTTCTCAGAGATTGTGCCAACAACTTATTTGTATTTTCTTTCATAAGTAAAACCAGACTTTCGAGCTTGTGTTTACTATTCACGACGTTAGAACTGTTTGAAATTAATAAAAATGGTTTAAAATTAGTGTCTAGCCGCCAAAAAGTAAGAAAACAAATGCAAAATCATACATTTTTCACAATTTTCTAACACTTCGCTGCACCAACGAAAGCAAAATTCTGTTCGACAGAAAATTCGATACTGAACGAAAATTTCGACACGCTTGCATAGCTCATAATACGAATTTCACTTTCGATCTTCGATCTTGGATAGCCAGCGAAGATCTAAAATCGAATGCAATTCATAATAAGGGCCAATAATTAATTTCATCTACAGAAGAAGGCGCATTCTTTTTAAATTCGAGGAGTTTGTTTTCTTATAATAATTTTAAGCGTTGCTCTTAATTCATTTGACAATGTTCAGGCCTATCACGGAATCCATCGTAGAAAATTTACGAATTCGAATGCCTGCTACGAATACGAAAAAATTGCTATCACTGAATCCGAGTAAACTCGAAAATATCGTTGCCAGCTTCGAATGCTTATTCGAAATCAGCTAGTGCAAAGGAAACAATAGACCTTTATGTATGCTACTTTGCTCCCCCAGCCGTCGCAATGACCGAGTAAGCAAAGCAATAAACTGCCAGTTGAGAGATCCGATTTTTCTTTTTTTTATATAAGTTTTTTTTTTTTACTTTAGGTTTTATTCTTTTAAGAAGATAAATATTTTTTGAAAAAAAATCTGCGATAATTTTAAGATGAGACCCACAATAGCTAGAGGCGTCGCCCGTGTGTATTCTTTCATACATATATGAGGCATTTTTACCGTTATATATTTTTTGTCTAAGTGACAAGGACAATAGGTTTCATAAGGCTTTGCTCGTAGACTGTGCTCTTACAAGGGTTTTATAAAGCTCTGAATTAAGGGCATCTATTCTAAAAGGCCTTTTTCATGCTCTACATACATATATACATATTTTTATAAGCCTCTTCTTTTATACGGGTTTCTCTTCCATTTCGTGATTAGTGCAAATCATCTACAAACTTTTAGACCTCTATAAAATTTCTTCAAGCAAAGTTATAGATGCACTTCTATAAATTTTAGGTTTCAAAGAAATTGCGTATTCTCTTTTCGAAGTAGGGTTTGTCTTCACCGTGGAGAGGATACAGAAGATGGCGCCGATGGCAATACCGCTAATTGGCTCTCAGTGAATTTGACAGAATCATCTGTTTTG